GTAAATAGCACATGTGAAACAGGAAAAGCCGCGAGACAATACGCCCCCCCCCCTTCTACCAATTCTCAGATTTTCCCCAACTTCCTGCCACTTTTCCAAAATTTCGAAAATTTCCAAACCAAAAATTCCAAACCAAAAACCCAAAAATTTACTCACGAAAAGTCAACCCCTGCACTCCGACCTTTCCTAGGCCAAAAAGTAAATACGACCCCCCCCCTCCCAACAATGAACAAGTACGATCCTGGCGGCCAAATACGACCCCCTCCCTGTTGGGGATTCCCCAACAACGATGTGTCCTGCTTCAGATGAGCTTGCTGCGGTGCAGCGATTAGCAGTGGAGCGCGGTAAGTCGCAGTCGCGCAATTACCGTACCGCTAACTGAATGGGTGGCGTCGCGTAGACAGCCTGGTCTCGTAGTGGGGAGAGCACTGAATTTAGCACTCAGGTTTAGCGGGCACAAGGAGTATCAAGAGAAAGATAGAGGGACGTCATCAGTGAGGGCCCCTCATAAAAACTGTTCAGGGAGGGCCCCTCATTAAACAGTGTAGTAAGATGAGATGACTTTTAGCGGAGAAAGTGGCGATATGCAAAGGCAAGTGGTACGATAAATCGATAGGCGTACACGGTCGATACGCACAGTAAAAAAAATTGCGCCCCTCAGCCTGCGTTACGTGGCGCTTTTCCAGCCAAGGGTACTGCTACAGCGGTTTCATCACGGTGCAACATGCCGACCCAGACGCCCCCGTAATCGCCCCGCCCGCCCACTAACAGCCGTACAGTCACATCAACGCTGGAACACTTCTCGCTTCATCTATATATCACGATTGATCGAAAAGCGTTGCTACACGAATATATGAATACATAAGTACAGCCGTATCCACCAAAGTGGATGTTGGCGCGATATCAACGGGAAACTCGTCCAAAAACGCTTGTCCTATGCCGTGCAAAGCAGAGCTTTTTAGCGGATTCGTGGCCGTTCCAACTACACTTTTTCGCATTCTCCTCACTGTATAACACCCCTGCTTTATACCTGACCATGTGCCAAATTTTTCGCCATCGTGGAAGTGAAGCTGGCGAGCTTGTGCCCGATTGCGACTTATTTGAGTGCTGTCTCCAAAATACGTCCTTGCGATCTTGTAGAACACCGTAATTGTCTGACTAATGTCTTTATTTCATTGATATGGTATAATGTAGTATGATGACACCAGTGAAAGCGGCAGGGTATGGATAAGATGCCTTCAGTTACGTGATGTGCTCCGATATTCGTGCTATTGATATATATTTATATTAGTAATTTCTTTTTCTTCCAGTTAAAATATCCCATTTTTCTTTATGTTTTGCTATTATTTTTATCTTTCGTTATTTTCTACTCTCTTCTTTTATCTTCGTATCGATTTTTTTGCCTCTAATATTTTTATTTGATGGTCTGCATTTGTCCTGATTTGGTCCCTGGATAAGACGCATGAAATTTTTGAGGCATGTTTACGACGATCTTATTCGTATGTGCGGCGCACATCGCAAAGTCTGTACTGACTACGTTTCCCTTCTCACTTTCTCAATAAAAGATTAATTTGCCCCACTTAATGGGCCATGATGACTGTATCCGCCCACACGACCGTGGACTGTCAAACTTTTCCTAGACAAGGACTGCTGAACTCACCCTGGACTGTACATACAGACAACGAGCGTGAAATGCCATGTGCATCGTTTAAAGCACCCCATTTATGTTGTTATCACCAAGGTCTCTATAATGTTCTATGAGAGAACGCTTCGACCGCTCAACATTCTAGAGATTCAACATTCCCCATTCATCAAAAAGTCATTACTAGTCGTAGACATGTGCATCAGTGACCGATCGAGACATCGATTCCTACGTCAGCATAGCCTCCTAACCCAAATCTAACCTTCGCCCTAAAACCCAAAGCAACAAAGTGTCAGCATTTGACTTGCACATAGGATCTGTTCGAAAAACGACACCTAATTTGCCCACCCTCCGAGAGTATGCTACTAAACGCTGCCTTTCTGAATGCAGCGGCTCCACTTCGGAGTCTCAATATGCAATTGGAGGTGTAAGATGGGATGAATGGGGAGGAAAAGGAGGTAAGAAACTAACGAATTTTGGATCTCATTCCGTCCGCCGGTTTCTCGGTGGATGAGTTAGCTGCCAGAATGCTGAATTCCATTGGGAGGACGTCGACAGCGCACCCCCTCTTTTGTCACAACATTCAAAGCGAGGTAGAGATCATTTGCTGTGCTTCAATTTGTCACCTTAGGAGGGAGCTCCAGTCAAGTGGGGCCTTGTGACGGAAACCGTGCGGGGTGCCGGCGAAATCAGGATAGGGTCTCCCCTGGAAGGGAAACAAAAGGTGTGTCACATCCGACTCCACCCACGCAACCATCCTGGACGCTGTTTTCATTAACATCCGGCATGCCTTTTATGGACAGAGGTTAGCCAATACAGAGAGCTAGAACTCATTGGATGGAGCAGCCACCAAAGGGGGGGGGAGGAGAGCGCGGATCGAGGAGCTCCGAATTTCTGAGGCCCTGTTGAGTCGCATCTGCCGCGCATCCCGTAGCCACAAAGGCGTAACAAATAGTCGCTTCCTGCCAGAAGCTTACCTTTGTGAATGAAGTCGCACCTTGGCTCGCAACCAGCGGTGTGTACTGCATGTTTGATGGGACGCCGTTCCTCGCCAACTGACTCCACCAGTTATTCATAGCCTTAATTTCCAATTTGTAATTGCAAATAGATGAGTGACATTCAAAGTTAAATGACGAATTCCATAGTGACGGAGAGCCCTACCGCTTCAGCAGCTCCTGCAGGGTCTCCTGATCCGCTGTATCTATAGACGTTCTCTTTGTGACCGGGATGAACATCCACTGGTTGTAAGGCTTGATTACACGAATCAGCGTGCGACTGAGCATAGGATTCAGCATCGCAACTCCATAACTGCAATAATTCACGTTGACCAAAAAAGCAAGGGCAGTTCGGCGACGGGAGGGCATTTCACACTTTCGCTACTTCTCGTCCACATGTAAGCCATTTGGAGAGATATTTTGTGAGCTTACAAGTGTTGACAGGTTTTACCATGAGCTTGCATGAATTTCACAACAGTTCACAAGTTACTCCAGAGTGAGACTTGAAAAACAGGACAAATGACACATCGAAAGTGCAAAATGCCCCCTCATCGCCAAACTACTCCGCAGGCACAGAAATTATCATCTTTCGGAATCAGCAGGGCGGGTACATTGCACTGCCTTACACATCTGAATTTATTCATTTACTAGCTTCATCCAGTCCTCTGTGAGATTTCACAAGGTGCCCCTGTACAAACTACGCTGCTGGAAGCTACCTTCTTGCAGTTTCACAAGAGGGTACAAATCTCCATGTCTAGGGGGAATCGGCAAATATCCCCTGGAGCGAATAAAACTGTTTTGATGTTGATCCTTATGCCTGATTTGTTGAATTTCGGTGCATTAAGATG